AGCCGAAGCAAGCTACGCTGGGCACAGTAGGAAATGGAAAGGTAATTAAATATTATCTGGCTATGTTCTCCACTGAGCTGGAAATGCTCTCCGGGTTTATAGATTGAGCAAATAAGAGAAATGGGGACAAGTTTCTTGACATTTTTGTTTCAAGTCCTTTAAACAACTTTGGGATCTAACTGTTCCAGGAAATAGACCAAGTGAAGGCTTGGCTATATGAACCAAAGATTTCACGCCACAGTTTTTGGTTACAAAATCCTTTATCATCCATATTTATCAGCCATCCCTCAATTAAATCTCAAATCAATAAGGTAGTGTTCCCTTTCTTGCTGTATAGGAGAGAAACCTACATCACAACTAGGGAGGAAGCCACATGACAGAGCTCTGGAGGCCTCATACATCCTGGGTGCTAGCTAACCTCTCCTCTGAGCTGCTGATTTCCCCTCAGAAAAAAGTGTACTGAAGACAAAGCCCCTGTGGCAGTCTCTATCTAGGCAGGAACTATTAGAGAAAGAGAGAAAGAATAAAAACCTTCTGTGGGCATAACATAGAACTGCTCTGGACTGGAAGACATTATGTGAGGGCCCAGCAGCACAGACGAGGCGGAGCCATCAGGAAAACGGGCAGAAACACTCAGGTTTATGCCCGAAAATTGCAGTTTTCCTACTTAGGCATTTTAGAACCAGAGAGTTGTATTTCGAGTCCACCTGATGTTAAATATTACTCTATTCTACAGAGTTTGGCTCTTTTGCCCTTTGTTGCAAACCTTCCTCACTTTGAGTACAGCTTTGCTACAAAGGAAGACCAGTAGTTTGCCTCAACTCCAAGGCAAGTTCAAAGCCAACTTCACTATGCTATCAGCTGATGGCCAAACCCCGAGATCAGGAGAGTCAGGGTGGAAATGAATCTAAGTATCTTATCAAGAATTTCATTGTTTCATAATATGCATGTTCCCCACAATAAAAGTAACTTATTTTTGGATTGTATTAAAATAACATATATCGTGGTTAAAAAATGTTTTTATAAACTAAAATAGCATATGGACAAAAAAGTAAAAGTCACTTGAAATTCTACCACCTTGAGATAACTATTTGGGTGTCCATCCTTTGATTCTCTTTCCATCTATGCCTCTGCATAGATCTGTCAAACAGTATGGCAGTTCCTTAAAAAATTAAACAGAGGGCTTCCCTGGTGGCACAGTGGTTGAGAGTCCGCCTGACAATGCAGGGGACGTGGGTTCAAGCCCTGGTCCGGGAGGATCCCACATGCCGCGGAGCAATTAAGCCTGTGCGCCACAACTACTGAAGCCCACATGCCTGGAGCTCGTGCTCTGCAGCAAGAGAGGCCACTGCAATGAGAGGCCCGCACACCACAGCGAGGAGTGGCGCCGGCTCGCCACAACTAGAGAAAGCCCGCAAGCAGCAACGAAGACCCAACACAGCCAAAAATAAATAAATAAATTAAAAAAAAAAAATTAAACAGAATTACCATATATCCAACAATTTCATGTCTGGCTATACAACAAAAAGAACTGAAGGCAGGGACCCAAACAGGTATTTGTACACCAACACTCATAGCAGCATTATTCCTTACAACCAAAAGGTTGAAACAACCCAAATGTCCACTGATGGAAGAATAGATAAACAAAATGTGGTACATACATACAATGGAATATTTTGAAAGGAGGGAAATGCTGACATGTCACAACATGGATGAACCCTGAAAACATTATGCTAAGTGAAATAAGCCAGACACAAAAGGACAAATATTGTATGATTCCATTTATGTGCTGTACGTAGAGTGGTCAAGTTAATAGTGACAGAAAGTAGAATCACAGTTGCCAGGGGCTGGGGTAAGGGGGGTAAATGAGGAAATATTGTTTAATGGGTACAGAGCTTCGATTTGGGAAGATAAAAAAGTTCTGGAGCTAGACAGATTTGATGGTTGTACAATGATGTGAATGTAATGAATGTCATTGAACTGGACAGTTAAAAATGGTTAAAATAGTAAATTTTATATTATGTATATTTTACCACAATAAAAAATTAAGTTATAAAATATTACTAATGCTACTTCCTAAAAATTATGCCATAGTTATCTTTTAAAATACCATGCAGTAACAAAAAAGGAAGGGAAATATATTTAGATTCCAAAGTTTTGGTGACTGGACTCTAGAACTCTATGGACACACTGACCAATGCCAACTCGTCAGGTATAAATAAAAACACCAGGAAATGGTCCCTTGATAAAAGAGGTTACTACACCCTCTATTTTTTTTTTTTTTTTTTTTTGCGGTACGCAGGCCTCTCACTGTTGTGGCCTCTCCCGTTGCGGAGCAACAGGCTCCAGACACGCAGGCTCAGCGGCCACGGCTCACGGGCGCAGCCGCTCTGCGGCATGTGGGATCTTCCCGGACCGGGGCACGAACCCGTGTCCCCTGCATCGGCAGGCGGACTCTCAACCACTGTGCCACCAGGGAAGCCCTACACCCTCTATTTTATGAGTATAACTTCAGTGGCTGACATGGTACACTAAATTCTTTTTCTGTGCAGAGTAGTCAAGAAAACTTGTGTTTCTTCTTCCAATAACTATAAAGCCTACATTGGTCCCTGAGATTTCAGTGGACACTAGCCAGCAGTAAATCATGACTAATTAACCAGGAAGTAGTTAGCCCTGTAGTAGACTGACTCTGAGACCTGGAATATAGAATTATAAGACCTGGGATTTATAATCCACCTATGGAGAAAAAGATTACCACAAATAAACCAAGATGGAGGTTATGAAGAGCTAAAACTAAAGTCACTCACATAGAATATGTGGTGCATCCCTTCCTCTTTTCCCAAATTAGACATCAAATTTCCTTACTCACTGGAAGCATAGCCCCTGTATTTTCCCAACAAAGAGTAAGGTATTTCCCTATCTGTCATAGCAGCCTCTGCTCAGGACCAGAAATATCCCTCTACTAAGCCTCAACACAGCCGCTGTAACACTCAAGTCAGCTCTTGGAAATGGGTGGTATATCTGGGAATCTCTGCAGCTGTGGAAGGCATCACTGCCAGGAGCTACAAAATGATAAAGATTTCTTTCCCTCCTCCACGACTGGGATAGAGAATGGAGTCTTGCTGACAATCATACAAATGAGGAGAGTAAGACAGAGAAAGAGCATTAGGTAAACTGAGGAGAACAGAGAAACTTCTAAGATGATGGTTTTCAACCTTGGCTACAAGCTGGAATTACCTGGGGAGCTTTAAAGATATACCCATGCCTGCATCCTTCCCTCACCCTAGTCTTTCCCCATAGAGATTATTATTCTATCTGGGATTGTGATCTGGACATCAGGATTTCTTACAGACTCACCATGTGAGTCGAATTTCCAGGCCTGGGAACCACTGCTTTACAGGAAGGAGAGCTTCCTCATCCTTCAGTCAGTCTTCTGGAGACCCTGCCTGGGACCTCAATTTACTGCAAGAGCTAATGACTTTAAAAAAAAAAAAAAAGAGCTAATGACTTTAAAATGGTCTTGAAAAATTGCTCTCCAGTACAATACAGAAGATGTGACCATATTCCATCACTAGAGGGCAGTTTCTTCATTGTCAACACTTAATTAAGGTATTGCCTCAGGTTAATTTACTCAGGTTCCTCCCTTAATTAAAAAAAAAAAAAAAGCAAAGCTGCATGATGACATTTTAATGAAGGTATACTACAGCCTGACTTTCATAAACGTCAATTCCTCCCTATTTATGAAATGAGAGTTTGAGAGACTAATATTAAAAAAGCTCTGTGTCCTTTCATCTGTCACATGCCCTCTTCCTAAAGGGTTTGTACTGTATGGGGTATATTGTTTTCACAAAGTGTATGGCTCTGCTGTGTTACCTATGTTTCCAAACAGGAGGGAGGGCTTGATAGTAACTGATTAAGATCTGATTACTTTCTGTCTCAGAAAATGAGACAATAAATGTCTCAGTTTTTAAAATCCTTTGATTTTTGTATCTTGAAATAGAAATCTGGCATTTCTATCAAGCTTCTAAGTGCTGCCAATGCTGAGACTGCTGGTGGAGAACCACACTGAGCAGTGGGAGGTAGAGAACCTCGGGGCAGATACCAGGCTCCTCCTCTGAAGGTATCCCCATATGTTAATTCACGTGTTGATGACATGTCTGTCTGTCTGTCTATCTATTCCCATGAAGACAGAACAATCACAAATCCAGTGGATCCAGGTTGACTACACTACATCAGAATCACTTGGTTGCTTCTTAAAAACAAAGACTTTTAGTCCCAACCCCTGGAGATCAGTACTTCTAAAGTGGGGCCCAGGAATTTATATTTTTTTAACTAGTACCCAGGAGATGCCGCAAGAGCCCTTTGCTTTTGAAAATCACTGTTGCTCAAATGTTTTTACTTTACAGACAGAGACCGAGGACAGAAAAGAGGAAGGGAACTTTCAAAGTTAGTGACAGAACAAACTAGGATCCGGACTCTCCTGGCCTTACTAGATTGAGGCATTACTGCTTATAAGGAGTTAACACGTGTGCTCGATTCTGATTCTTACACTATAAGACGGATGTAGTAACTAGCTTCCAAAGATGGTCTGCAATGAACCAGGACTCTCGACATTCACACCCACGTGTTGTCCCCTTCCCACGTTCAATCTGGGCTGGCCCTGAAATTTGCTGTGACAGATAGAATGCTCTGGAAGTGATGTTGTGTAACTCCAGAGGCTGAGCCTTAAGAAGTTTACAGCGTCCACGTCCTTCCATCTTGGAACACTCCACTTTGAACCCAGACCCAATTCTGTGAGGGAGCTCAAGCAACCACTGGAGAGGTCCACATGGGGAAGAACCAAGGCCCAGGTCAACACCCTTAACTGAGCTCCCAGACAACAGCCATCACTACCTTCCCAGTTATGTGAATGAGGCCACTTTGGACCTTCTAGTCATCCATCCCAGTGGGTATTATACTACAAGAGATGACTGAAAAGACAGAAGAAGAAATCCGCTTACCTGTTAGGCTGGAAAGAGATTCGGTCATAGCCCGTGAGTTCACACAAATCCTTCTCAAGTTCTCGAAAAAGCTGCTGGTACCCTTGAGCTTGGTCCAGAGGCACAAAGGGGTGTATGTTTGCAAATTCTTTCCATGTGATAGGCTGAAGAGCAAGAAGGGAGGAAACATACACATATGTACATATTGTAATAGTAATAACAAGACTAACTTTGATAATGATGATGATGATAGCAACAGCTAACACAAAGAGTGCTTACTATGTGCCAGGCACTGTTCTAAGCACTTTACATTCATTCATTTAACTCTTACCACAATCTTATGGGGTAAGTACTATTACTGTCTTCATCTTACAAGTGGGTCACAGAGGCCCAGAAAGGGAACTTATACAAAAGTATAACCATTTCCTACTTTTTCAGGAACAAAAAGGCCCCTGAATAGATTTATATCCATGAAACCCAATGAGTTGTTTCAGGTATGGTTTCTTCAAACTCTTACATAGCACATATATCATTCTTTCTTCATGAAGCAGAACAAAACACCAACATAAAAGCAAACGGGGAAAATCCTCCTATTAGGATATAAAATGATTTTCTTTGCCTGATGTGATTTGTCATATCAGACTAATCCTATGGAAAAAAAAGAAACATCCTAGCCTAGTAGAGATACTTACCAAACACCATAGCAGGGGACACAAATCTTCTGTTGATACAAGAAACAAATTAAAACCTCAAATCTCTACCTTTCTGGCACTGGGGAAGGATTTCTAGAAAGAAGGCTTACGGTTCTTAATTCTATCTGAGCTTAACAACTACAAACTGATAAAAGCTTTCAACGTGGCAGGTTTAAAAGGGTGGGGGGGGGGGGAGTTGGGGAAGATAGGAAGACATAAACACTATATGTTTAATGATTTTAATATTTAAAAATAATGTCACCCATAAATTTAAATGATCAGGTTGTGATAAAGTTAGGGTTTCTGCCAAGGCTGTTGAAGAGCAAGGTAAAGGATTACTAAAGCAGTTGTTAAACCACGGTCCCAGGAGCAGCTTTCTCTAGTTATCTGCTTATGTATAAGCCAAGACACTGCCTCTGCTAAGTTCCCTTTTAACAGAAGTGACCTACTTACTGTGAGTTCAGATGAACTGTTGAGCTTCATGGTACAGGACCCCTTGAAGAAGCACAGCCAAAGCGTATTACGTTAGTGACATTCTATGGTCTGTCTGATCGGCCCTCCCATCTCCCCAAATGGTCACCCATTCATCCCTCTTGCAGCCTATTAGATGTGACCCAAAGAGGTGGGTTCAGGGTGGGGTGGGAAGTGGAAATAAAGGCCATAATTACCAGCGGAATCATGCTATGAACAAGGGAAATGTCTTTGTTTTCCAATCTCTTCATATATCGGACAATATTTGTTTCTGAGTGATAGCTGTGAACATAAAACACATGGTTTAGGCCAATATAGTTAGGTAAGAGCCCATACACATCCTTCTAAGAGGTAAGACACACTGAGATCTACCTTCAACATACAGATCAAATTAGGCCATGGACAACATGCCAACAAAGCATCAGAGGGAAGGGCGTGTACCCCCCATGAAGCTCAGAGGATGCCCTAGGACAAGAAGCCACCTGTGGGCCTGAGAGGAAGAGTTGGAAAGAAGAGGATGTTGAGTTCCTGGGTATGATCTTCAGCCTGGCGACTATGCATCGAAACTCTCATCTTCTTGAGCGTAGAATTAGGGGTTATAGTGTCAAGGGAGCACAGCCACCAGGAAATAAGGTGTGCTTCGCCCGGGTTAGAATTGGGATTTAGTAGTGGGTCAGGCTGAGCCACAATAAACCAGGCCATGTCATAGTCAGAATGCCATAGTAGAAGCCACTCTCTACCGTGCTCCCAAGCCACAGCACACAATGCAGAAGTCACACAAACTACACAAACCTGTTGAACACCTGATGTGTGAGGAATGGACTAGTTCTCTTGAAGGCAGTCCCTAGAATACCTCTCTGTTCCTCACCCATGCTTTCAGCAACCAGCTCCTGCATGGAGAGACCACAGAAACTGAAGGGCAGGAAGCATGCCTGGAACCACATGTGAAGAAGGCTTTCCATTCAGCGTGTATTCTGACAGAGCACCAGAAATTCCCTACCATCCAACCTCCCACCTCCCTGACCATCCACCCCAGGGATATCTGGCACAGTGCAGTGACAGATGTCAGGGCTCACGCATTGTGGCAATTCTCCAAAACACTGTTTTTAAGTTCTGTGGAACTTAGCCACAGTGAGCAAAGAAAAGTGAACAATTTTTACTGCCAAAGAAAAAAGAGTTGAAATCCCCTGCATGTTCCTTGAATAATGAAGCAAGTTCCAGTAAACTATTTTAAAGGGCTATCTAAAAAGTGACGACCATGATAACACTCAAGTAAAGATTCTCACTTGACATTGCTCTTTTATCTTGGAGAACAATTCTAATAAAATACAAGTGCCAAGACCATTCAGTGGGAGAAAGGACAGTCTCTTCAACAATGGTGCTGAGAAAACTTGATATACACATGCAAAAGAATGAAGTTGGATCCTTATCTTATAGAATATACAGAAACTAATTCAAAATGGATTAAGGGGGCTTCCTTGGTGGTGCAGTGGTTAAGAATCCGCCTGCCAATGCAGGGGACACGGGTTCGAGCCCTGGTCCGGGAAGATCCCACATGCCATGGAGCAACTAAGCCCGTGTGCCACAACTACTGAGCCCATGTGCCACAACTATGGAAGCCCTCGCGCCTAGAGCCTCTGCTCCACAACAAGAGAAGCCATCACAATGAGAAGCCCGCGCACCGCAACGAAGAGTAGCCCCTGCTCGCTGCAACTTGAGAAAGCCCGCGTGCAGCAATGAAGACCCAACGCAGTCAAAAACAAATAAATAAATAAATTTATTTTTTTTAAAAAAAATGGATTAAGGACCTAAATTTACAAGCTAAAACTCTTAGAAGAAAGTATAGGGGCAAATCTGCATGACCTTGGATTTGGCAATGGTGTCTTAAATATGACACCAAAAGCATGAGCAACACAAGAAAAAATACAGTGCACTTTTGTGCATTAAGGAACACTATCAAAAAAAAATTTTTAATTAAAAAAAAGGGACACTATCAAGAGAATTAACAGATAACCCACAGAATTGGGGGAAATATTTGTAAATCATATATCTGATAAGCATTTAATATCCAGAATATATAATGAAATACATGGCTTGCTCCTCATTCTGCTCCAGGCCGGTAGTATGAGAGCCCTCAGTGGTTGCTCTGTAAATATTCTTCAAATGCATGGAACAAATATCTGTGATTAAATTTACTGCAGAGTTCTAGAGGGAAGATATTGTTCAGTCTTGTTTATTAATTAAAGATTAAAAGAGAACAGTATAATACTTTTTTGACGATTTACATTTGTTATCTGATACTGAAGTCATCTCTCAAAGAGGACCCAGACAACCAGGACAGCCCTGATCAACACTCTGGAGCCTATTTCTGTCTCCTTTCATTGATTCATTTAACAGATATTTATTAAGTGGCTCCTATGCTCCAGGCCTTGTAGAGTGCTCTGATGAACACCTTGCCACAGGTCTAGGTAGCTGACGTCTCTCTTCCATCCCACAGACTCTCCTGCTCACATGTCCCTGCTATTTCATCATTTTAGAAACCAACTCAGTCTCACTAAACTGTTTCTAGTTCTCATATAACCTCTCTCCTGCTAGCCTTTGTGGCTGCTTTTCCCAGTGTCTGGAACACCTCTGGCCCCATCCTCCTTCTTCTCAACTGTGTCTGGATAGCTCCTACTCATCTCTCAGGTCTCAGCTTAGGACAGTTTCTTCCAAGTGCTGGTGAGAAGCCCCCTCCACTCTGTGCTCAGAGAGCATCTTTGGACAGTGCCCATCATAGGACATCATCTGGATTGCAGTCTTTTGCCTGTTTGGATCCTCATTAGACTATAAGCTCCAAAAGGGCGGGAAGTATGTCTGATTTACCACTAGCCTCAGGGCACAGCATAAGACCTGGCACATATTAGGTCAGTTTTGCCAGAATCAACATAACCAAAATGCCTATGCCATGAATCTTTGTATTAGGAATAGTTTCAGTTAAACACCATTAACAATCCTTCCAACTAGCCTTGCAGCTCAGTCCTGGCTAGGGCCCACGGCAGTGACCTCTATCAGCAGTCACAGTAGCAAGGGACAATCGGTGGCATAATTTTAACGTAGGCCACCTAATGTCATTCCTGCGCCCCCTCACACTCACACTCAGGCCCATAAGAGGCAAAGCCATCTGTGACACCTCCTCAAATAGTCATTATGAGGAATGTGAATTTTGATTTACTTACTGCAGATGACTCACAGCCGAAGATCCACAGCAAGTCATCCAGATCTTTTTCATTGACTGTTTCATCAAGAGAAATACCAAGCTATAGAAACGAAAATGAAAGGGGAAACATCAGCTCGAAATGCCAAGATCAGTGCAGAAACTCCAAGAGAGGTCAAAGGGGAGAAAGTGCTGGACAAAACTCTCAGTTGTTCTAAAATAACAGGCTATCATTATGTCCAAGTTGGCCCTTGGGCAAAGTAGGCTAGACCAGTCCCAAACGTCAAAAGATTGAGCGTTTTACAGCCACTTCTGGACTCTACAAGAGTCCAATGGCTGCAGGGCACTCCTTTTGGTACTAGATATGCTCACTTTTTTCTTCCCTTAACTTACCTTATCATATCACTTATCGTAGCCTTTACCTTGAACAGTCATATTGTGAACGAAGGAGTATTATGAGCAAAATATGTGCCTAAGAGTCCCATATATGAAAACACAACATCTTAAGGAAAGCTGACAATGGATTATCATTTAAAAGGCCACAATGTTCCAAACTGGAAATGAAAATTGTTTACAAAGAAGTTGTGCCCAAAGGTCCAATACTGATTTTTTTTTAAATAAAGAGAAATTTTAATGAGAAAAGTCATAAAAATTTATAGAATTTGTACAACAAACAAACAAACAAAACTGAAAGTCTGACTTACTGTGTGATCCTCAAACAGCCGAATATTTATTTGCCGCTGAGCAGCCCTGCCCAAGACCTCCTTCACTGAGCAGCCACACTGAATCTTCAAAGTGTCAAAGAACAAGTCGTGCTGGAGTTGGTGTCCTGCTCTCTTGAGACCTAGACAAGATAGGATAGCCACCGGTCTCTATGTAGAAACCAGACCCTCTGCCACTGACGCTTCACAGAAGTAAAGAGGTAAATCCTACTACCGTCTGTTCGTACCCAGTGTTTTGGTCGGTGCTTTTTTTAAAAAAAGTAGGACTTCCCTGGTGGCACAGTGGTTAAGAATCCGCCTGCCAGTCCAGGGGGTATGGGTTCGAGCCCTGGTCTGGGATGATCCCACATGCCACGGGGCAACTAAGCCCATGCACCCCAACTACTGAGCCTGCGCTCTAAAGCCTGCGAGCCACAACTGCTGAAGCCCATGCACCTAGAGCCCGTGCTCCACAACAAGAAAAGCCATCGCAATGAGAAGCCTGTGCATCGCAGCAAAGAGTAGCCCCTGCTCGCCGCAACTAGAGAAAGCCCGCGTGCAGCAACGAAGACCCAACACAGCCAAAAATAAATAAATAAATTTATTTTTTTTAAAAAAAGGTAAATGTTTATTATTATGCTACAGAAAGTTGTGAAATACATATAAAAATGGAGAAAAAATCACCATAATCACCATCCAGAAATAACTAGTGGTTACTTCTTGGTATAGATTCCTCTAGAAGGGTGTGTGTGTGTGTGTGTGTGTGTGTCTGTGTGTGTGTGTGTGTGTGTGTGTGTGTGTGTGTGTGTGTGTGTGT